TTTTAGCTCCAATTCCATCACATAACTGTAGGCAGAAGCAATTCTCAGGACTAAAACCGGTGTCTTCAAGCCCAGCCTTACGCACCTTCCATGCAGACAGCCCCGTCTCGAACCCGCTGCTCGACCCCAGCAAGCAGCTCAGTGCGCTGAGCGGGCAGAAGAGCATCCTGCACCCAGAACAGCTACGGACCACAGGCATCTCCTCCTGCTGTCCCTTTAGGGATATGATCCACAGAACCTCTTTGTTGTCCCACAATTTGAAACTCAAGCCCGTTGCACTCGTGTGCAGGTCAGTGAGGAGAAGCTGACCTCCAAGTCTGCTTGGCAGCAGCAGCCCTCCCGCCTGCGTTGCACCAGAGCTTGCTCCCTTTCCCAGCTGGCCCCATCTGTCAGCCACCTCTGACTCTGCGCAGTTTACCTGAGGATTTATTTTCAGGCAGGGTATACAGATGAAAATTGGCATTACCTTGTCCTCCCGCTCCTGAGCTTCTACCTATTTGTTTCATGAACTCCTTTCACTTTGTCACATTGCTATACTGCAAGCTATTTAGGGCAGAGATGGTCTTTGTAAAAGGTACGTGCATGATGCCCACCCCAGTACCTTCAGCCTCACCGACTGTGGCTTCTATAATCACTGAAAAAAAAAGTAATATTAAATATTCATTTTGAAATCCTGTGAGCCAAGTTTATGGATTCAGGCCCTCCAACAATGAAAAACTCTTCAGTTTTCTTACATCAGAGACTGTAGCTCACCAGCTGCACTTGCATCCGCTGCACTCCATCCACTTCCACATTTAGTTTTCATTAAAAGGTAGTCCAGGATTAAAATCAGTCAGCTGGATCTATATGGTGGGGTAATTTGCAATTTTGTGCCAGTGTACAGTCTTCATGATGCTACACCAGTAAGTATGTCCTCCCTCACTATTTCCAAAAGAAATTTTTTTTTTCAGTCTATATATCTACATATATCTACAGATTTCAGGCTAATCTATAAAAGGAAAAGAATTCTCTGCTTCCCCTATTATTAGGAGGCAATTTTTTTTCTGCAAGTTATTGAAAGTCATTTTTTTAGGACTACTCCTTATGCAAATATTGAAATCTCCTCCTCTCCACTGCATTTGCTAGGCATATCCTCCTTTCAGAAGATCAAAAAATGCCCATCTTTAAGAAGACCACATAGGTAATCAAAGCGGAAGCCCAGAGGCTTCGACTGCCTACCTGAACCTGAATGTTTTTTGGTTTGTGCTGTTTACGAAGGCTTTTTATTGCATAGCCAGGTAGAGTATCCAAAATCCTCGCAAGGCTATTTAACATTTACGGGGG